CTCGTCCAGGTCGACGCGACCCATCTCGTCGGCACACTGTGAGACGATCTCGAAGGCGTCAGGCCAGGATTTGACCAACGCCGTGAGCTTGAAAATAGCGCTGTCACGGCGATCGCCTTCGTACGCTGTACGACGGGAACACACCTTAAGTGCGAAGGCCATCTCTTCCGCTACTAGCGGCTGGATGCTGGCGGAAGCTTTCCGCTAGAGCATCAGGCTGGACTCGTGCAGCACTGGCACGGGGCCCACAGAAGCGGGACGTGTCACTGACAGGTCCCAGGGCCAGCTCGCATTGTGCGCGAACCATGAAGCTGATTCCCACGGCTGACGAGCACCAGCTCTGCGTGGTATTGACGACCAGAGGTTACTAACCTGGTCGTTGAAATCACTCTCCGGGGCGCTGCCCCGGGGCAGCATCCTTGACACAAGGAAGGGGAGCACTGCTCAAGCCAACGGCTGTGAGAAAAGCAACGTGCAAGAAAGTGGCTACCAGCACAGATCTAGAGGCACACTGACTCTGTAGCAGAGGACTGAAGCGACGCGCTGCGACCCGCACCCTCCCCGGGCAGTCCTGAGGGAGGAGGAGAGAGAGACAGAGAGGCAGAGAGGGAAGTGAAGCTAAAAAGGCTGCGGCGACCACGCACTGTAGTATCATCTGCCACTCTGGTGGCACTGCACCACGGTGCAACATCCAGAGGACCTACGAGGTCATGGAAAACATAGGTGAATCCTACCAGGAAAAAGCAAACTGCAGCCCTACAAGGTCTGTGTGTACGCGCAACCTGCGGTGTTCTTTTTCAACCTCGGCGGTGCGAGTCTGTGGGCGGAGCCCGTCTGCTAAGGTGCGCTGCACCTGCCTTCTTCTGCGATCCGCAGACAGGCCGGTGAGCTGCAGAAGGCTTGTGTGGCCGGACTGTGCCGGCACTACTGTGCTCTGCACCTGTGTGAAAACGGCGCAGAAGAAAGGACCGCTGGTCCTTCAAAACTGTATCCGAACACTGTTCGGGGGGCACTGGTGGACGCCGCTGGCGTCTCTACCAGTCGCGGTGGTTCCAGCGCCGGTCGTGATCCCACGACCAGCGACCAGGGACCACTGGTCCCGGTCCTCATCGTCGCGGCGGGACCACTGGCCCTTGCCTTTGCCTTTGCCCTTGCCGTCTCTGCGGCGGGCCTCCCGTTCGCGGTGCTCGCGCTCACGGGCTTCGGCTGCCTCGCGCTCCAAGGTCAACCGAAGGGACTCGCTCGCCCTTGTACTCAAGCTTGCCGTCTGTCCGCGGGACAGTGCCCGGGCAGCTGAAACGCTTAGCGCAGCGTGTGCTATGCATCACGCCGCATTCTGGACACTGCCAGGCCTTACTGCGGCGGTCGTGAGTAAATTGCCCCACTGCGCCACTGGCGCTGGGCTGTTCGTAGGCATGCACTGCTGCCTTGAAAGCGTGGAGCTCGCCGCATGCACTGCACACGAACTCTGACGAAGCATCATTCCAGATGTTCATCTGCTCGTTGTCGCAGACTGAACATGCGAAGACGCGCTTAAGCTCCGCGAGATTACCAACATAACTACCCGCCCACAAGTTCCCGCCCAAGTGCAATAGAATATTGCAATAAAAAGGATTATAAAAATCTGAGTTGGAAAACTCTGACATGAGTCTGTTTGCACTGACAAGAAGCGAGCAACATGACTGAATGCAATGCGCGAGCTCCACATGTTTTCACGCTGCCGTGCAACGATTGTCGAAAGAGTGCACGAAAGAGGAAGGGAGGAGAGAAGCATAGTCGATGCAATGCTCCGTCACACACGTGTTGTGCCAACTGCACCCCACGTCTGTAAAAGAACTCTCCCCCTCCAAACAGGGCTGGGCGGGTGGGTACACAAATGAGTCCCCCCCTCCCCTTTTGGACTCCGCAGAGCCGAGCCCAAAGGTTCGGACGAATGTTGATTGTCATCTGTTCCTCCAGCAGGAGGGAACAACAACCGCACATGAAAAATTCATGTAAAACAAACAACTGTGTGACATGAAAATCAATCCATAAAAGAGTCGAAACTCGACTCAACAAATGGAAAGCATTTTCGATATTGGCACATGAAAATGTGAGCAAGTTATGTTTCTTAATCTCATTCTGATGGACAAGTCCACCTCACGAGATTACCAACATAACTACCCGCCCACAAGTTCCCGCCCAAGTGCAATAGAATATTGCAATAAAAAGGATTATAAAAATCTGAGTTGGAAAACTCTGACATGAGTCTGTTTGCACTGACAAGAAGCGAGCAACATGACTGAATGCAATGCGCGAGCTCCACATGTTTTCACGCTGCCGTGCAACGATTGTCGAAAGAGTGCACGAAAGAGGAAGGGAGGAGAGAAGCATAGTCGATGCAATGCTCCGTCACACACGTGTTGTGCCAACTGCACCCCACGTCTGTAAAAGAACTCTCCCCTCTCAACGAGTGACAGTGGCACATCACTTCCAGGGATCCTTCTCGCGCAACCGTTCAGCCTTCTTAAGCTTGGCAGCGGCTTTGGATACCCGCTTCTCTTTCCACTCAGCAATCACACCGTACATCGCACAGCCCGCTTGCAAAAGAGGCCTGAGAACCAGACCTTGGTATTCGGCAAATGAAAATCGTAACCTCAGCTTTGGATCGAACTGCTTGAAATCTCCGTTAGTCAGAGAGTCGGCCAGCATGTTCTGAAGGCGTGGTGCCCACGTAAGCTCGAGCATGCACGACTTCTCAAGGAGCACAGCAGTTAATTCCATCAATACTGCCACCAATGGCAATGAAGTTGTGAGCCAACGCGAGACAATGTGCGAATTGCCCTTATTGTCTGTCCCCGCTGAACAGACTGTCCGCGAAGGGCCCGCTCCCGTAGGAGCGAAGAGCAACACCGCCACCATGGTGGCCAGAAGTTCGAGGGATGCTATGGAACGGTAAGACTCCCCCGCCATAAAGAAGAGAGGAGCATCTTCAGGTTTGATCCGCTCGGCAAACCATCGGCACCGACGAGGATCGTCGGAGTCTGCACATGACCACCCTCCAATATGCATCTCTGGCCCCTCTGCTCTAGCATCCGTCCTGAAGAGCTCCGGAGCCGACTCAGACGAATGTTGAGCAACCTTCGTGACCCTAAGACCTTTTAGCAGCAGCGCCTCCACGAAAACCAGAACCAAGTCGACGGCCTTGGGGAGTCGCAAAGTGTGGCACTGAGACACTGCACTGGTCCAAGCGTACAGCGGCCCCAGGAAGGGTCTCAGCATCGGAAGGACCGTGAAAGCGAATGAGAGGCGGCCCAACACGGATTGCATGTCGGCCACTCGCACCATGCCGTCGGCCCTGGTCTTACGGATCCAGCCGACGATCCAATCAGTCCTTGACTGGCTGATGCCAATCGTCCTCCCGAAAGCGAACACCGAGAATCCGATCCAGCCATGCTCAAGTCCCCCGGCGAACTTATGCCAGGCAAATGGTGTCCCCAGTACCTGAAGCAATAAGATGGTCGCCAAGATCTTGATCAGCCCGTCTCCGGACTGGGTAAGCCATATGAGGTCGTCCACATAGCTCAGGAGAACCGTCGGGTCGCCTTGTAGACAATAGTACAGAAGTCTGCCCAGTCCCGACATGAGTCTGTACCACCAGTAGGAAGCTGAAGCGATGCCGAACGTCCCCACGCAGTTGTAGTATACTTTCTTTGGGTTTGATCCGCGACAAGCTTGCCGGGGCCAGTCCCGCTCCTGCACAAGGTAAAGACGATGAGCTCTGCTGATGTCACCGCTCAAGGAAAAGTAGGCATGTGGCAAGATTTCCACGGCAGTTTGAAGATCAGCGCCCGTAGGATATCGTTGGGCATCCCGGACACGGATGCAATCGTTGACATGCTGCCCATTGCTGCCGTCATGCACGATCCTCAGAGAGCCGTCTGGCTTGGGCACCGCCCCAAGCGATGCGACAGATAGGGAATCACCATGTTTCGCCCGGGCCTCCTCCAAGTCGAGCGCGATCATCGCCCCCAGGCTCATCTCCTTGGCGAGCTGCTCGTCAAGCTGGACGGGGTTGTCTCGCGCCCCGGGATAGTTTTCGCGAAGGCCGTCTTCAAGCGGAGTGTCAGCATCGGGGTACTTCCTGTGCTTGCACTTCCGCTCGAAAAGTGCAGGCGTCCGAGGTAGACGCTCCCCTACCCCGATCGGAACCCCTTTTGCGAAGGACACGGATGAAGAAGCATATTGTCTCCAGTCCGGGTCTCCAGCTGCCCTCAAGAGCTCCCCAATGGCCTCGAGGTAGAAAGGCTGTCGGGGAGTCACATGTTCGAGCTCTTTCGTGGAGCCCCAGTCCCTCAGCCGCTGGAAAACAAGCGAGCGCATCTCCACCACCATCGAATCAGGGAAAGGCGAAGACGTGGCCCTCCCCGTTGCCAAGCGACAGATTTCTTTCCTCACGTCGATGTGTTTCTGGAGCATGCGCAGAGCGTCCTCGAAAATCTGCCCGTGTAAAGAAATGTCCGGATGCGTGACACTCGTTGGCCTGTCCTTTGGCAGCCAACGGCCAGGAGATGCTAAGCCATGTCCATCAGAGAAATCGATCCGCTTTCCCACGAGAGTGGCCTTCAGAGGAGGTCCAAAGCCGAGTATGCCTTCACCTAGCTTTGCCTTGGGAACGCCATCGACATCCTCTTCAGAAGTTGAGCCACCCTCCTCCTCGTCGTCCTGGTTGTCGGGTTTAGGCCTCCACCACTCATCGTCCTTCGGCACGGCATCATCGTTGTTGTCCTCCAGGATGCGCTTCACCGCGCGTGGCAAGGATGCAACCCCCGGCTGGGGTGGCAAGTTGAACCCCAGCTCCTCCAGAAACCTCCAGTGGGCCGAAGGAAAGGAGGGATTCACCCGAGGGGTGTATGCCACGAGTACTGTTCTAGTTCCTTCCCAAGCCTGCGTGCAGTGCCAAGCGGTGGGATCGAAGCAAGCGTGACAGCCATCATCTAACTCGAGAGTATGTCCCAAGCCTAATGAGGGATTCGAAGGGCACGGTTCTTGACCTCCGCCATCCTGAGTCCAGATGCCCCCGCCCCGAAAGGACGTGAGCCCTGCCACGAGATTTCTCGATCCTCGCTCATTGCCTGTATCTCGATGCGGGGCCGTCTGAAGGTTGCGAAAAATCGCAATGGCAGAGAATGTAAAGCTCGCGTCCAAACCCCGAACGAACCTACACAAAACCCTAACCACCCCGGGAAACAACCTGGAGTTCCTACGAAGGCCGGCAAGGCTACCGCCCACGGCATAAGCCCCGACAGCAAAAGATTTCGAATCCTTCCAAGTGACACCATCTCGGGCCAATTCTTCGCCGGGAAGCAAGTCGAAGATCTGAAGCAAAGACTCCTTCGAGACCGCCGAGTGTTGCAAGCGCCCTGCCAGAGCTTCAGCCTGATGGACCACCGCTGTCGAAGTCGCATTCTCAAGAGTGTCTGAAGAACGAGCTTGCTCCTCCCCCAACACCGATTCGGAGGACACTCTTTGCCTGAAGGTGAGAACCGCAATACTGGCCAGCGCCTCACAGAAGCCCGAAGGGTAAGCAGCCGGCCCGGCGAGAAATTGACCATTTTCGTCGGTGCCGATGAGAGGGGCATGTGCATGACCGCATTTGCGAGACAACGGCCCTCGATAGTGCTGCTGAGGGTCGAGTCGCGGCCAACCGGATACACCAACCGATCGTAGACCGTGCCAGGTTCCAGCTAATCGTGTCGGCCGCCTCTGAGCGGCGCCGAAGGCACAAAGATGAAGGGCCACCGAAGTGGCGCGAGTCTCCTGGAAAACACGAACAGCTTCTTCCCAAGTCCAGATCGAAGCCGGGGTACCAGCCGCTGTAGCACCCAAAAATTCCGGATGCTCGATCAACCAGGGTACATGCTCCTTGGTGGCCAGGGTGGCTAAGGACAATACCCGGCGCACCAAACTCGTTCCAGCTTCTGCCTTGGATTTCCATACACCGGATAGCCAGGGAAAACCTTCCGGCCAGTCCGAGTTCCGCAGAGGCGGCGGTCCTGTGCGATTGACGAACGTGGCCCGGTTGAATGTAGAATATGGCGGGCTCATGAAAAGAAGATTGAATTCATGTCGTCGAACTTGATTGAGCAATCTCAACCAAAAAGAATCTGAAAGAACATCCGGAGCCGATTCCCCGATATCAACTTCTTGATAGCGGAATGACAGCCCGGCCTTCTCGCAGGCAGCCGCCAGGAATGATTTCAAGTCAGCCCGGCGAGACTCTCCCGCGAAGAGATAGAGAAAAGAAATGTCGGATTGTGGAGGAGAATCGAGTCCTTGAGAGACGTTCTCCTCGGTGTCGCCGCCGTCCGAGAGTCAGTTAGATCCTGTAGCCGCCTCCGGACGACGAACTTGCGTGCAAGCATGATAAGGGTGTTTGCCGAGACAACGTTGACATACATGAAGGAAGCGACAGGCGCTGTTCTTGCACCCTTCTTTCCGATTGAACTTCCAACAAATTGGCTTGCCATCTGGAGTCTTCATGAGCTTGGCAGCCTTCTTGCCAGGGGCCTCCTCGGCTGCTGCAGCAGCCAGTGCACGTTTCAGGGCTTTGCCTTTGCCCTTTCCCTTGGACTCGCGCTTCCAGTCTGCCGGAACAGACGGGGGAGACGGCACGGCCCGAAGCGAGAAAGGGATGACAAGATGTCGATTGAGAAGCTCCATATCATGCATGGCCTTTGTAAAGGCTTCCTCGATAGTGCCCACCTCGCCGTCCCTGATCCAGCGATAGAGGGTTTTGCGAGCTTCGAGCTCGAAGCTTAAGACGAGCTCCCAAGTTGGAGTGTGCCCGTCACCAGCCACCAATCCAGCAACTTGTGAGCCCAACACATAATCACTGAACCTCCGCAGGACATCTGTGGAGTTTCTAGACAGCCAGGGCCTGAGAGCATGCTTGGTAGCCAAGAAGTCCCAAGCTAGCCCGATGCGTCTGTGGCGCAACCGCAGCTCCTCAGGATTGTTGGGCATGCCAGTAAGGGTCTTCCCAGGCTTTATTTTGAGCACGTTGGTAGTAGGATCGATCACCGCCGAGTACGCCTCAAGTTCTGAATCCTCGAGAGACGCCACTTCGGTAAGCAGCTCGGCTACCGGCTGATTGTTCTCGATCTGCTCTAGCTTGGCCGCTAGCAAGGACTTGGCAGGAACCTCCTTGTCCTTCAACTTTCCGAGCGATGCTTCAACTGCCAGCCGCATGGCATGATGCTCACTAGGCTGCACAAGTCGCTGCTGAGTCCCCAGCCGCGCTTCAGCTTTGTTTCTCTCCGAAACCTGCAAGTGAAGCCTGGATGCTTCCCAAGCCGCCAATAGGCGTGCAACCACGAGCCGCTCTGCAACCCCCGCTGTAGGATCGATGGGCAACTCCGCAATCAGTGCAGCTCTCACCCGCTCCCGAGACTCATCTAGCCCCGAGAACAATGCCACATTGCGGATCCCCAGTTCTCCCAGCCTAGCCTGCCACACAGCCGGAACATCCGCCTGCTCAAGCTGGAACCTGAGATCCGGCCCCAACGTCTCCAAGTGCCCTCTCTGCGCGGCCGTCAGAGCAGCCGGCGCCGCCATGAGACGCCAGGAAAGCCCTAACAACCCAAGGCAGGACAAACTCAATTCAGCAACGCACCCTGGTTGAACCGTCACCGGCGAAACCTTTGTGCTGATTTCCGATCTCACCATGCTGATGCGATCACTCGCGCACGCACCGAAGTTTGCCAGGCCTGACACCCTTCCCTCGCGTCGCAGTACACTGTGCATTCAGGAGCCTAGCCGCGCAATCCTGCGAAGCAACTCCGAAGCGCCCTCACAAGCTCAGTGACACGAAGCTCCAGGCCCGATACTCTATCGGCCAGCCCGAAAAAGGCTCGTGAGATCCCTGTGATCTCTCGCCGAAGATCCTCCCTAGGCACCGGGTCGACCGCAATCAGTCGCCGCTCCAGAACTGCCACCCGCTGCTCTAGCTCCCACACATGGTCAGAAAGCAGCAAGAAAGTATCATCCGTGCTTTCCCTCTCGTGAAGCTCAGCAGACGGCTCTGAAGCAGGCTCCGGCTCCATGAGGCCCTCAAGACGCGTGATGAAGAAACTGATCATTCCTTTCCCAGCTCGAGATCACAATCCTTTGGCGTACACTTGCAAGTGGATGCATGATCCCTTGACGTACACTTGCAAGCAGCAGTAGCACTCTCAACATGAACACGATCGACTCTATGTGTGCACACATTTTGCAGTCCGAGCAATCACGATTCGCTCGAGCTCTCTCCTGAGGTCTGTGCCTCATCGGCGGTGCTGGAGGAAAAGTCCTCCGATCCCGAAGCATTCGCCTGTGCTGCCTGCTGTCCCTGCTCAGGTTTGAAGCAGTGCTTGCATTGCCAGTCGTAAGAAACGCCCTCCAGCGACTCAAACAACTCACAGTTTGCCACAGACTCGGGCGTGCTGCCGCATCCACCTACACGATGAAGCCGCCGCAGCTTCTTCTTTCCTAGAACAGATACAAAGAACTTGCATGCATCCTTGACCTCAGGAGTCCTGGCAGGCATCACAAGATCACCAGGCTTGACGCCGTTCCCGCTGCCTTCAGCAAGATGTTGGGCCCGAAACTCGGCCCAGCCCTCCAACGGCCGCAAGAGGTCAAGAGCCCTGTCACGCACCGAGCTCTCGACACCGGCCCTCTGTAGCGCCTGAAACAAATCATCAAGACCTACCTCCAGAAAGGCGGGGTTGCTGCAAAGGCTCTGAATAACATGTCGCTGCAGCGAAGTGACGATGAACCAAGCACTCCGAATGTACTCATCTGAGGCTTCCACGACATGCCACCGCCCCAAGTAGGAACGACGCTCGCGATCGATACCCGACCATGACGCAAGTGTGGCAATGAAGTTTCTCTCGGAATGTTCGGTAAAAGCAGCAACAACACTCGGATCCTCGAAGAGCGCAACATCAGTATGACGCACACTCCCAGCCTCGGTCAACTCGGGACTCGGGCCGCTTTAGCTCCCACAGGAGCTGCTTGGACATCGTTGACATATCCACATAGCTCGCCATAACTGGCAGGCAGGAGGTCAGTCCCTTTGTAGGCCGAGGCACCAGATAATCCCTGGAGAAGGCAAAACCATCAGAAGCCCAGATCTCATATCCGGCAGCCAGCCAATCGCTATGCAAAAGCCAAGCATCCTTGCAAACAAAGAACGGCAGCCATCTGATGCGTTTGTCAGCTCCCGAGGTTTTCGTTCTATCGAAAACTCCTCGTAGTCCTTGTGAAGACATCGTCATCTGCTCCGGTAGAATGCCCTGAAGGTCATTGGCCCTGCTAGATGTCCATAGTTTCAATAGCCGTGCCCACGCATACGCTCTGACGAACTTCTTATGCGCAGAATTCACAACCACAGCCTCTAAAGACATGACCATGATGAGGGCCAATGCTGGAGCTTGTTTTGTCGGCGGCGCCCCTGCTTCAAGCTCAGCAGTGCGAACCCGAACCAAGTTCCGCACCAGGACATGCGAAGAGATGGAGGCCTCGGCCTTGACTCCTCCGACCCTCTCGAAGAAAATCACTGCAGAGAGCACAGACTGTAGCCTGGTCCTGGCACAAGGTTCCTGCGCCAGCTCTTCCACATAATTCATCAAGATGCCCAGATGCGTGGGGAACACTGTCCCCTCAACAGCGAAAAACCATGCGAAAACTTGGACCATTCCCTCACGTGACGCCTTAGAGTGGACGCTCTAAGCGTTCCTGCTGACGCCTCCAGTACAGCTTGGCTATCAAGGGCGTAACTTGCCATTGAGCACACCGGCATACCAGCCCTTTTCAGCTCCTTCGCTAAAGCCTGCCTCCAGCGTCGGAGCTCTGTAGCTTCAGCATCGGCCCTCGCACGATCGTGCTTGGCCAAGGCAAGTTTCTTGGCCAACCGACACGGCCACGCTGTAAGTGACCGCTTTGCACCGGCCCTTGTCTGAAGCCATCCAGTGCTTACTTCAAGCTGCTGCTGAGGCCCAGCCGAAATCGATGAGGACGTTTGCGCCAGCTGACCTTGCACAGCTCTAGTCCTCACGACACGATCTGCAGCCGGTGATACATCAGCGCAAACCTTTTCAAGAATCTCGCATGCACTGAACCATTCAGCTGAGCCCATTGTAAGTCCCAGTGATTCCACAAAATCTTTGATGTCTGAATCATCTGAAAACAAATTCGACAAAATCTCGGGAGAAGGCTGTCGCGACTCCTGATCAAGAGCCTTCTTGACACACTCAGGTAAGTCTTGCCACGACAGACTGGAGTCAGCCTCTTCCTGAGGCTCCTCGTCACCCATCGCGCATGACGATCACTCCGACCCATACACAAATGAGTCCCCCCCTCCCCTTTTGGACTCCGCAGAGCCGAGCCCAAAGGTTCGGACGAATGTTGATTGTCATCGCAGGAGGGAACAACAACCGCACATGAAAAATTCATGTAAAACAAAACACTGTGTGACATGAAAATCAATCCATAAAAGAGTCGAAACTCGACTCAACAAATGGAAAGCATTTTCGATATTGGCACATGAAAATGTGAGCAAGTTATGTTTCTTATCCTTATAAGCCAATCCTTTCAAATGTAAACACGACAAAAGGGAAAACTTCACAAGTGAACTATTTCCTTTCAACAAAGAAATATAGACATGACTGATGAATAAATTCAATCCACATATGGGAAACATGCAGAGCACTCGCACACACGGCCGATTTGTTTTCCGACGGGGGATGGCACCAGTCGCATTCGAAACGGAACATGCCGTAAAGTAAAAGTGGATTTCCCGTGACGGCCCATGCACATCACAGGATGTTCCAGCACAGAGCTCATGACGGCCAATGCTCATCATAAGCGGTGCCACATACCCCCCCAGGGTGGGAGGGCGGGTCAAAATTTTTCACATGTGAGCTCCGCATCGGAGCCAAAACCTTCAGTGGAGCATTGGTCCATCAGACAACAATTGTCTAAGCATTGAAAAGTAGTCGACACATTTAAAAGCGAATCCGACTACAATTCAAAAATAAAGGACAGAATTCATGCGGCATGCCCAAATACATTTGTGCCCGGGAGCACCATGAGCCATTTCACAAAGGCGTGATCAAACGATTACAAAGAAAGGACGGTGAACATATCACCTGTTGGCAAAAGGATAAGAGGATATCACGAACGTGAGATTGTCTTTATCCTTATAAGCCAATCCTTTCAAATGTAAACACGACAAAAGGGAAAACTTCACAAGTGAACTATTTCCTTTCAACAAAGAAATATAGACATGACTGATGAATAAATTCAATCCACATATGGGAAACATGCAGAGCACTCGCACACACGGCCGATTTGCTTTCCGACGGGGGATGGCACCAGTCGCATTCGAAACGGAACATGCCGTAAAGTAAAAGTGGATTTCCCGTGACGGCCCATGCACATCACAGGATGTTCCAGCACAGAGCTCATGACGGCCAATGCTCATCATAAGCGGTGCCACATACCCCCCATCCGAAACACACCGCGCATGTCTGATCAAAAGGCTGCCAGAGTGGGCTGAATCCTTCGGAAGCATTCCTCATACTCCCCAAAGCTCAGTCTGGAGGCAGCGTCGGAAAAATTGCTCTTGGACGGCACCCTGCAATACCATGGAAAACAACTGAGCTCGACATCAAGCTCGGCAATGTCAGAAAGCATATGAGCGGCATCCAACAAAGGAGAATAATTTCTGATCAAGGCCGCCTTCGCTGCCTCGTTGTCCACGAAGATCAGTACCCGTCTGTTACGCAGCACTTTAGCCCAAGTCCGTCTCGCAATCAAGACAGGGTAAAGCTCTGCAAAGAAGATGAGCTGAGTCCGGCCTGAGCTCCGCCACTTTGTCACAAGATCCTCGGGGATGTGACCCCCAAACACCTCTCGAGTCTGCGAAGCCGGGTCAACGATGACCGCCCCATGTGTCACCTGATTGCCTTTCTCCTCACATGCACCATCCGTAAAGATGACAACTGGCGGCTACTCAGACCACAGGTTCACCTGACGATCCCCAGCCGCCCTAAGTGTTCCAAGCGCCCTCTTGAGGGATTGCAAGACGAAACCATGCACGTCAGGACCAGGTTGTCGCTCGGCATGGTGAATCAACTGAGTCGCAACCTGAGCACAGCGACCGAACACATGCGAAGATGCAAACAAGAGCTTGCCCTTCAACGACGGGAGGGATCGCGCCCCACATGCGGGGTCAGCAGCAAAGCGATCTACCATGGAAGAAATTTCCTCCAAGCGACCGGCCTTATTCCTAACCCTAATCAGACCCCTACCCGCATCTTTGAAGGATAGCACTGCACCGAGCATGGTGAACTCTGAAGCGAAAGGTTTCAACTTCTCGCCATCGGACACCTCCCAGCCAAGGAGATCAAGCAGTGCAAGCGCCGCCTGATCCGCAGAATCAGTCAGACCATCAATCTCAAGTTGGCAAAAATCGTCAAAGAATGACGTATTCACAAGGAACAAAAGCCTGGACATGATAATGCGCAATGCACCCGCAGCCCGGTTGAAGCCTGTCACCGCGCCCGATGCGCCGAACGGGAGAGCGTGGCTCTCAAAATAGGCCACAGTGTTGGTGTCTGGATCTAAGACTCCTAGCACCGAAGCCCAATCGTCGGCGGGGTGCCGAGCTAGCTGTTTGTATGCACTCCGCAAGTCAAGAGCCCTGCCTTTCAAGCGCCGTGCCCGACCTTCCCTGAAGTCAGGATGCAAACGGCCCTGATAGACGCCTCCGCCTGACAAGGGGAGCCTGAAAACCTTGGTGCCCGACACAGTGGCACCCAAATGGAATCTCGCAAGGGCAACAATGTCATCAAGGCCTTCAAGTTGAATCTTCTCGGTCTCAGTAACCGAAGCATTCACCTGAAACTGCGAGAGATCATCGACAGCACGCACCTTGTCGCCCTGGGACACCCCGAAGCGCTTGGACGCCACCCAAGTGCCCCCATACTTCTGATCCATTTGATCCCATGTGAATGGTCCCGACAACCATCCCTTCTCGACTTGCCCCAACGATTCTTCCCAAACAGCCCTCGCAATCTCAGGATCCTGTGAAGCCTTCCGACACGCAGCCTCGACAAGGTGTTTGGACCACTGCGAAGTGCGCCGCAATTCATCCACTGAGATGACGGCAGGCTTATACTTAGGGGGAAACAAACCCGAAGGCACAAGGGGACCAGTCAACCGAAATCCCTGAACCATATCCTCGAAGAGGCGCTCATCAGGAACACCTGCATCCTTCAGCATCTGTTTGAACAAGAGCAGCTTCTTGTTGCCCATGATCTCCCGTACCGTAGGGTCCATTGCCTGCTTAAGAGCCTCCTCATCAGACCTCAGAGAGTGCTCCAGTGCACGATAGTGCTCAAGAACCTCCATACGTCTTTGCTGCACAGCCTTAACACCATGCTCAAGAGTGAATGCAATTGCCCGAAGGTTCGGGCCGTCAATAGACACTGCACTGTCGAAGGGATGGGTCACTTTCAAGGCAGCATTCAGAAACTCATCCGGTGTATGGTATACCCCAAATTGGGCCTCGCGAACCTCAACACCCCCATCAACAAAGACGCGAGTCCACAGAAGCTTGGAGCCCGCAGGCACGTCGCGAAGCACTGCAAGTGGCTCATCTGGCACATGGTCCGGGGGCTGAAAGTCACGAGGGAGCCGGACAAGGACAGTCCGTTTGTACTCAGGCGGACCCACAATGCCGCGGCCGCGGCGAGGCTGCCGCTGTGCAAAGGAAGATGCCAGGGCCGTGTCCGAAGATGCGCGCACATCAAGCATAATCCCTTTATTTTGCAATGCCAAGCAGATCTCACGGGCTGCTGCCGTACACAGGCCGGCTGGGTAAGCGGTTTCCTCGGCAGTGGCATAGTGCACACCACGCCCGTCCGGATCGCGCACACGACCCCATTTCTTGTGTTCGTGTGATTTGTCACACTGCAACATGAGACCCGGAAGGCGGCATGTAGCCAGCAAGGCAGTGCGCTTCTTTCGAGCAGATCCATACATGCAAGAATGCAGCTCGTGCCACACGCCACGCGGGACAAGTGTCCTAAACCACGATGTTTGCCACATGAGGCTTGATGCCGGGTTCTCCACAATGCAAAGGATATCGTGTTCAAGACAGAACGTCCAAACCTTGGCGGCAAAGGCATACAAACGATTTGCACTTTGTACTCGAGCATGATCCTCGGGACGCAAGGATGCCAACCCGTCTGGAAAAGCCGGGCTCCGTAAGGGTGCAGGTCCCTTAGCCGACCGTCCAAGAGGGATTTGCCGCGCAATCGAAGCAGTCCCACACGGGGGAGCAATCCACACGGCCTGAGCACGGCGCAACTCGACCCAAATGCGGTCCTGCTGCTCTGGGTCGCGCAAGTCCAAGCTGACGAAAGGTGCATTGGCATGCTTAGCGGTGGGTTTGTGATCAACTCCCAACACGCGGAACCCCAGCTTGCGCACCTCGGCCGAAAGGCCAGCAGAACCACAGAACAACTCGATGAAGGAAGGTTGCGCAGTGGCCGTCACATCACGAGCCACGTTTGACCCACCGAGATCAGGATGATCCGCTGCGGCAGGTGCAGTCCCTGGGACGCTCGCATGAGGAGGCAGGGTGACAGGTGAAGCTGCAAGCGCCGGGGTTGGCGCCGGTGGCGGAAAAGGGAAAACCCCAGGGCTAGGGAGAACCGAAGAGGCAGACTCGGGACCGGCCGTTGAGTCAGGTCCCAAGGTTGGCAACTTAAACCCCAGGTTTGACAACTCAGTCAAGTCTGCACGACGCAAGTTTGCCCAGTTCCGTACACTAAATGCCACAAGAACCACGCGGGGCCCGCGAGACCACGGCATAACGCAGTGCGGCTGTTGGGCATCGAAGCTCAATGCACCATTGGCAAACTCGACAACGTTACCCATCCTTTGGCCCTGATGCGGAAGCGGGCACGGGACCTTGCCGCCCACCGTCTCGACCCAGAGGCCACCGTGGCTGAATTCAGAAACCTTCAGGATGGTATTCATCAGGCTGGGATCATTTCCGTGGTCTGAGTGGACCCGCGTCTCAAGATCACGAAACAAGGCCAGTGTAGTGTAGCAGGCGCCCGGCGCCATCGAACGCATAAACTCATTCAGAACCTTAGTGGACATCGGAAAGTCGCGGCAATGTTGGCGAAGGCCGTGCCGCTTGCCATGATCATAGGTGTAAGCACCTGTTGTGAAAGAAAATTCGGACCCACGGCCCACCTCACGCGAACCGCGCGACGGTGCCTCCGAGGGAAGCAGCTCCAAAAGACGACGAATGCCCCCCGCATCGACTTTGCCGATCAAGGTAGCAGCAAAAACTTCCGCATTCGTATCACGATCATTGCCAAAATGGCTGGTGGCCGTGTCATGCACATGTGTTGCATTGTGTACTTGGCCTGGGCTAGAGCGAACGGGCCCTAGTCACGACGACCTGTGGTGGGAGAAAACATGCGAGGCATCGAAGCAGGCAGGGAAGCAGCACACATGCTCCCCTTTTGGGCAGGCCCCCGCAGCATTGGGACATTTCCCAAGGGCCTGCCAGGTTTGCAAGGTACTGATCTTGAATTGGTCCAGGGGCCAACACACTTTTCGCCATGTGTGCCGAGGTCTGGCATTTCTGTTGGAGCCATGGAGTATTTTGCTCCATTGCTCACCCGAGTCGATCCATCATGTGGCTTTCAGCGTCACTTCGCTCCTGTCAGTCTACACCTTTCCTCTCCACCTCCCTGCACCAATGCATGTTCGGCTCCTACCGGAGGAAGGCCACTCGCCTTTTGCACACGGTGCCCTACCTGCAAAAGCTTGGTGTGACTTGTGACGGCGGCCATGATCATGAACCGTGGCGATCCCCTGCACAAAATCGCCTGAAAGATGCAGGCCTGCCGCCTCTATTGTGCAAGACTTTTGCCCAAGCACTTGTGGATCAGCTACTTGCGTGCGGTGCGCGTGCCCCGGCGTCCTCTCTTGCAAACGCTTCCCTGTCGCTCTCCATGGGCGCCCGTGTTGCTACAGCGACACAACCCTCGGGTCGCAGGATCCCTCCACTGGTTCCTGAGTTTGCTCGCACAGTAAAGTTGGCAGGCCCGGCCGACCAGCTGCCGTGCACCTCAAAGACCAAGCTGGTGTCACCGTGGGCGGTTCCCAATACTGTCTTCTGCCAACCTTTTCTTGCATCTTTGCCGCCAGGTTCCAAATGCCTCCGAGCCAGCCCTTTGGTTCCACGGGGTCTGGCGCCTGCCTCGGAGCCAGCTATAGGTGCGGGTTTAGGTAATCCTGAATCCTCTGCCTCCTTGTGCCAGCCGGCTGAGGGTGTGGTTTCAGGTAGTCCCGACTCCCTAGCCCCCCAATGCCAACCGGCAACCTTGCCCCCAAATGCAGCCAGTGCGATACCTAGTGCCAGATCTGAGCTTGAACTGCTTTTTGGCATACCATGGACGCCTTCGGAGTTCGTTGAGCAGGCCTGCAAAGCGAAACACCCGCGCTCCTTGGATCAAGGCGTGCCAGCCGGCATGTCAGCCTGTATCGATCGCTTGTGTGAGCACAGCTCGGTCAGTGTGGCGAGGGAACGAACGGCCGAACTTCGCAAGTGGATGCTTAGGAAGAAAGATCTTGATGAGAGTTTTGATGGACCCGCGCATTGCAAGCAGATTCTAGCTGGAAAACCCATGAAACTCTTCGGGGAAATGGTCGAGGCTGCCGGACATGCTGATGTGAACTTGGTACGAGATATACATAACGGTTTCGACCTGCTTGGCGAGATCCCTTCCTCGTCCGTCCTGCCGAAGAAAACCACAGTGGCATCTCTCAGCATCGAGGACGCTTGCAGGGATCCTGAAATCACTTCGGAAGTGTATCGCCTTACCTTGGAGGAGCGGGATAAAGGGTGGCTGACCGGCCCCTTCACTCTCGCCGATGTGCCAGAGACTGCCATCGTTACACGCCGTTTTGGCGTCAGGCAAGCTGTGACGACGACGGCCACCGGTGTGGCGGCTAAGATCTGTCCTATCGACGACTTCACAGAAAGCCTGGCTAACTTGTCGTGCACGTGTGCGGAAACCATCGACCCGCATTCAGTGAACATCATTGTTGCCGGGATCTTGAAGCGGTGCAGGTCGCTACGGAAGTCCGGGAGGGACGCACGCTTGCTCCTTCGTACAATAGATCTACGAAAAGCCTATAAGCAACTTCCTTTGTCGGAGCGTGCCTTGGGGGATGCTTATATATGTGTGCTTAACCCGAATACGGGTGAGCCTGAGCTCTACCAGAGCCAGGTCTACCTTTCGGCGCAAAGCCCTCTGTACAAGGCTTTTGTCGTGCATCAGGGGCGATCTGGGCAGTTGGACAAGCCCTGCTCCACATCCACTGGTCCGTCTTCTTTGACGATTATGTGGTAGTGGCCTCGCCCGAGGAAAAGGGTCACCTTGATCTTGTGTTACGGTCGTACTTTGCCTTGATCGGCTGGGAAACGTCCGATGAAAAGGACGCCGGGTTCAAAAGTGTGGCAAAAGCCTTAGGCGTAGAATTTAGCTTGGACGAGATCCACTTAGGTCTGCTTAGGGTGCAAAACACAGAGGCTAGGAAGCGCGAGCTTGTGTCCACCATCGAATCCATCGTGCAGCAAGGTGGAGCGCATGCCAAAGAGCTTGAGTGCCTGCGGGGCCGTCTTCAGTTTGCCGAGTCGCAGGTGTTTGGTCGGGGTGCGGCCCAACGCATGCGAGCTATATCAAAGGCAATGAAGCTTTCAGGTTTTGTGGCTCTTGACGACTCCTTGACCGAGGCCCTGCTTTTCTTGAAGCCGTTTTTGGGACGCTAAAAATCACAAACTAGTCCCATAAGGCTTTATAACCTTTTTGGTAGGTTTCGAAAGTTTTGAAGAAGTTTTTCGAAACCGCTTCATGTGTCATGAGATTCCACTTGAACTTTTACGAATCCTTGTTGTTCCGCGCATGCTCAAACATAGGGTGGGTGGGCGGGAACCTTCCGTGCAGCAAAGTTTGTACGGGGGGTAAAAGAGAGTTGTGTAGAACGCGGGCTCCGGGCCAAGCTGTGTGAAACAGGTTTCAGGCCCGTGAACCCCTGGTGTACCGCCTCAGTGGCACATGGGCAGCTTCTCTCGTGATGGCAGAGAAGAGGACGTTTGATGCTGCATTCGAAGGGCATCTTGCTCATGTTGTGCACCAGAATTCTACGAGCAACTCAAAGCAGCCATGGGAGAGAAGCATTGTGAATGTGCCGAGTGTATTGCCGAAAGCTTTCTTGGGAAGGGGGCGTCTTGGGAATGTGCTTACTCATACGGCTGCTGCTCCTGTGAAAGCTCCGAGTGGCCCGTCGGCTATAAATCTGACTGCTACTGGAGGCAAGCTGCCACGGAAGGTTGGGCCTTCCTGGATTCAGAGACAATCGGATAACAGACATGCGGCTGTCATGAAGTGGCTTCGGATTGCTAAAGAGGGTGGCGACTTCTTTGGGGTCTGTGCTAGAGTGGCGGAAGATGCTGAAGCTGGATTGCCAGCCTCACTGCAGGAGTCTCTAGGAGATGTTTTCTCACTCAAGGCGAGCAGTACGCTTCACAGCAGGGCTGGCCCGGTCCTGAGATACATGGCATTCTGCTGGCGCATCAGAGAGCAGCCTTTCCCTTTGTCCGAGCAGAAGATGTATCGCTTCGTCAAGGAATACTGCAGTGGGGCTGCGCCTACCTTTGCCTCCAGCTTTATGAGTTCCATTGGCTTCATGCAATATGTCTTGGAGGCGAAGGTCCCGGCCGATTGTGTTAGCAGCCGGCTGGCTGGCGCAGTTTCGAAGCTCTACTTGGAGAAGAGAAAGCTGCAACAGAAGCCGCCGCTGACGGCTTCACAGATTCGGGCTTTGGAGCGAATTGTGCTGGGACTTATACCTGAAGTCCGTGCGGATGTCGATAGATACGCGGCAGGGTGCTTTTTGTATTGTGTGTTTGCAAGAGCCCGCTATTCGGACATGCAGTGTTCTGGTGAGCTGGCGAAAGACATCGTGCAAGGTGAGCGCGGACCGCGTGGGTACCTTGAAGCGAGGGTCACCAGGAGTAAAACGAGTCACAACTTGGAGCGTAAGACCCGATATCTTGCTATGGTCAGTCCGATATGGGGCCTTGAGCAGGATTCTTGGGCGTTGGCTTGGATGGAGGTGGCTGGCAGGGCGGGGCCCGCATGGGGGCCTGACATGCCCCTGCTACCGTCCCCCACCGACGGTGGCCAATGGCAGAAGGCGCCTATGTCTGCGCAGGCTGGAGCGCGGTGGCTTCGCCACCTTCTCTATCGTGCAGGCGAGGATGTCGCATCGGTCAAGGCCGTGGGCACTCACTCCTGCAAAGCTACGCTTTTATCTTGGATGTCCAAGTGGGGAGCTAGTAAGGAGATCAGGTCGATACTCGGATATCATTCTAGTGCCAACGCCGGCACGGATGTGATCTACGCGAGGGACAGCGTTTCCCCTGCATTGCGTGAGCTGGAGGAAATGGTTTCTGCGGTCGCTTACAGGCGCTTCTTCCCGGACGCCACGCGCTCGGGCATGTTTGCGGAGTCTTTGGCTGCCAGGGGAGATGCTCATGACAAGGCCGAGGTCGGTTCAGATTCTTCTTCCGACAGGAGCGATGACGAGGAGGAGCCGGACACTCTCGAGGAGGAGAAGGTGGTTGAGGACAGTGTCGGCGATTTTGAGCCGAGCGGTTGCCTTCGAGAAAGCCTGGAGGGCAAGGCGGTTTTTCGGCATGTCACCACCCGCTTCATACACTTAGTCGCTTCTGAGGAGGGCACAACTTTTAAGTGTGGCAGGCAGATCACATCGTCTTACTTGGAGTGCAGTGCGATACCCAGGTTTTTGCATCCGATCTGCCGGCAGTGCTTTCCAGAGGCGAGGTGAGGGATCGTAGGCTGGCTGGCTGGAGTGCCGCCATGCGAATTTTTGTGAGCCTCTCATCGTGAGAGCCCGCGAAGGCGGGATGAATATGCGCACGGAATACAAGGAACGCTGTGCTCGGCATTGCAGTGGTCTCAAGAGCCCGGAGTCGCAAATGCCGCCTTGTGATTTCAAGTGAGGGTCGCTCGAGCTACTTTGAAGGTAGACCCGTGCTGAAGGAGTGAGCCATGGCTTCCGCATACTCAGAGTCCGAGCCGGTTCTGGTGTCGCGTCTCTCGAAGGCGGGGTTTGATCAGGCTGAGCGTGATCTCATCCTGAAGCACGTTAAGAGTTTGAAGCAGCTGGCCTTCGTGAGCTCTTTTGCTCCGGGGGCTGCGGACGAAGGTCCGTTGATCGAGGCCCTTAAGGCGATGCTTGGAAAGGACCCAGAGATGAGTCAGAAAGCAGCTTTCAGAGCCGTATTTCATGAAGCTTATGCCATTGTCACTTCGGAGATGCGACAGCAGGTCGAAAGGGTAGAGGAACCGACAGTTCGTCATTTGAGTCAGCCCGAGAGGGCTGAGAGAATTGAGCGCCAGCGTTCACAGTTGACTGGCATCACGATAAAGGGTTCCTCGGAACCATCAGAGGCCTTGGTCGACCTGTGCGTCGGTCAGTACGAGGCCAATGTGATTCAGTATGTGCCTTGGTCAAAGTGCACGTCGCGGGAACAAGAGCTCCTAGGCGACGGTAAGAAGGACCTGAAGCTTTCGATTGACGGCGAGAGTGGTAAGCTTAAGGTGGAAAACAAGGCCAAAGATCAGGTGGCCGATACATCCACTGAAGTGATGCTTCTGCAGGCCCTGCAGCGGCGTGCTCTTGCATTCGATCAAGCTAACATTGTCTCTTTCACAAAGCTTGACATGTGGCATCAGAAGTTGATGAAGGCGAGGCTGACTCCACCTCCGCCGGGTTACCAGCAAGTCACATTCACTCAGTTGCAGAATGCAGACTCGAGGCTCTTTCTGGAGCTTCAGGACCATACGCGCACAGGCATCCAGTCGGATGCCAAAGGTCGTCCGATCGATGGCATCATAGATTCAGTCAGCTGCATGCACGAGGTGGTGTCGTTGATGCAGCCGCTACAGGGCGGCCCTTCGTCTTCGTACGGTCCCAGTGAGCCTGCTCGACTGAGGGAGTCACCGTATAAAGGCAAAGGCAAGGGCAAAGATGGCAAAGGAAAGAAGCGCTTCGTTGCCATGCCGAGCGAGCTTCGTGGGTGCAATTCGCACACCGCGAAAGGACACCCGATCTGCTATGCCTTTAACCTGGGGTCATGCCCGAACAAGGTGACCGGCAATAAGTGTGAGAAGGGATTGCACATCTGTGCAGTCCCCAAGTGCGGCATGAACCACGCCGCTATCAAGTGTCCCAAGAAGCCGAAAGATGGCGAGCAGGCGGGCGCTTGACTATCAAGTGCGATCCTGGCCCCGAGTACGGAAGATTCGGTGGCCGGGTCTGGGAGTGGCGAAGGCCATTCTCGAGAGATCCAGGAAGTGCTTAAGGCCCATCCCGAAGGGGATGAGCCTCTTTTGAGTGCGCCCGAAGGGGCCCAAGCAATGCCATTTGAAGAGCAGGGATCGAACCCACTCGATCCAAAGGTTCATGCGGACTCTTATGCCGAGGAGCTTCTGTCTTTGGACAGGGATCCCACGGCCCAGGAGTTGATTCGTTTGTTTGACATGCTTCCTCAGGAGCCGCTTTTGAGCAAGACTCGTGACGATGGAGCCGCGGCCTTCTCGACTGGTGCCTACGTGAAGGGGCCTCTGCTCGGTCTCAGGAGTAACTGCAGCAAACATCCGGCGGCTTCAAAGATTTTCGCTCAGGCGGTGCAACGCGCTGCCCCGGGAATGAAATTTTCTACTCTGAGTGTGTTTTCAGACCTGAAGACGGAGCCTCATGTCGACCGCTTCAACTCTCCTTTCCCTAACATTCTTGTGCCACTCAGCAATTTTCGGAAAGGAGAGGTCTGGGTCGAGTCAGCTCAGGGCGTTTTTCCTTGTGAGGTCGATGGTGTTACGAAGCGCGGCATCTTGATCGATGTTGCCTCCGGACCGAAGGCCTTCTATGCTTGCAGCCATGTGCACGCTACACGGCCGTGGAGCGGCCGACGCGTAGTCATAGTTGGTTTTTGTATTGCTAGGGTTCAGGAGCTTGACGTGGACTGTAGGGCGCGCTTGGCTGAGCTTGATTTCCCTGTGCCCCAGACGCCGCCCAACTTCAGCCCGGATTTGATCGAGGTCAGGGGTACCTTCCATGACCTCAGAAGTTCTCAAGTGGATGCAGCCTGTGATGCCCTCCCGGCTCAACTGCAAGCCGCCTCTCTGCTGTGCCTTGACCTCTTTTGCAATGCAGGCGAGTTCGGGGCCTCCCTGAAGGCAGCCGGATTCGATGTGCTCGCGATCGAGCAACCGCACCTGAAGCAGAGAGCTTTGCTCAGCGTTGTGTCGCTGGATCTTAGGAAGGCTGCCTCTTGGGACTTCCTAGTTAAGGTTGTGCTCGCTAGGAGGGTCGTCTTCGTGCTTGCCGCCCCCACTGTGGCCGCCTCTTCAGGCGACCTTCCCGAAGGTTTTGCCCAGGTGGCTTCCGAGCTCAGCTCATTCTTGGCATTGCTCGCCACTCTTGATATCGGATGGGGAGTCTTGAATCCGCTAAGCAGCCGGCTGTGGGCGACTTTGGCGCTGCCTGCCTCGCATGTCGTAAAGTTCGACCTGCTTGCCCATGGTGGCGAGCAACACCAGCACATGCTGTTGCATACTAACGTCCAGACTTTGAGCGCCCTTGCTGTGCCGTGTGACGAAAGTCAGAAACCTCTTAAAACTTTCCGGTCAGTGACTTCCCTGCGGGACAGACCGCGTTTGTTGTGCAGTCGGTTCGCCGCCCAGATAGTTGTTTTCGCGGGGACCCTAGGGTTTGCTGTGTCTCCTGATGCCGTCAAGCCGTCGGCCAATCATCGGTCTTCCATTGCAGTGCAACGCCAACCCAAGGTTTCCAAGGCGCCGCCGCTCATGCCTGAATACAAGCATCGTGTCACTTTGCAGGTTCCATCCATGGATGCTCTCAGGTATGATGCCAAAAATTCCTTGACGGCCGCTTTTCAATCGGTGCCTGTTGGTGCCCGCATCCTTCAGGTGGTGCCTGTGCAAGGGGGCGAGGGTCCTTCAGGTTCGGGCTTTAGGGTTACTTTTGGGGTTTACAGAACCGAGGATGAGTTCGTCAGGACAGCAGTCACTCTGTCCCATCCTTTCGACTTGTCTTCGGCAGTGCCAGATGAGATGCTCGAGATTCTTGCGTTCACTCTCACCAAAGGGCCGTTGGCTGTCATGAGGCATCGCTTGGACACCTTGACGAAATGGAAAAAGTGGTCTCAGGAACTTCGTGGAGCAGAGGCCTCCTTGCACGCGAGGCTTCACCCAGATGTCGAGAAGATAGTTGCACGCAAGAACTTGACTCTCCTGCGACGTGTGGCTGAAGACTTGCAGTGGCCTGATGCCACGATAATCGACGACATCGAGAACGGCTTTGAGCTTGTGGGTGAGGCCAAGGTTACAGGCATCTTCGAGGTGGATCCGAAACCCTCTTCGATGTCCGTGGACGAGTTGCTTGATCATGCGAAGTTCTTGAAGCCAGCCCTGTGGGGCAAGGTGTCGGGAGATGCGAGCCACCCGGATGATCAGGAGCTCTGGGATCTCACTTGTGCTGAAGCCGATGAGAAAGGCTGGTTGCATGGGCCCTACACGTGGGAACAACTGCAGAACATGTTTGACTCAAAGTGGATACCTGTGCGCAGATTTTCCATCAGGCAAAAGAACAAATTGCGACCCATCGACGACTTGTCCGAGAATGCCGTCAATCAAGCTTGGACAGTGATGGAGAGGATAGGTTTGCGCGCGCTTGATGAAATCACTTGGGCCTGTATGGCTTTGATGAGGGCCAGCTTGGGCCGACGCGAAGTTTTCTTCCGGAAATCCGACGGCTCTGTTTTGTCTGGTCCTTTGCATTCGTATTGGCAGCAAGACACTCGTCGTTGCTCGCCGGTCTTGAAGACTACGGATCTGCGCTCAGCTTATAAACAGTTTGCTATCCGGCCAGGACATCATCGGATGTGCGTGGTGACCTTGAAGGATCCAGCGGACGGCTTAACAAAGGGATTCGTCTGCCGCGTGTTGCCGTTCGGGGCTTTGGCTTCGGTCGGGCAGTTCAACAGGTTTTCGAGGCTGTGGCAAAGGATTCTCTGGGAGCTGAAGCTCGCTGCGGCGAGCTATTTCGACGATTTTCCGTCGGTGGAGGTCAGGGCCCTTGCCGAGAACCATGATTCCTCAGTGAAGGCAGCGCTGCGACTTTTTGGAGTTGACTGGGCGAGCGACAAGGACCTTCCCTTCTCGCAGACAGCCGACGTCTTGGGCGTCCGACTGGACGCGACTGACACGGAGGGCGGATTGCTGAGGGTCAGAAACAAGCCTGAGAGATCCAAGGAAATTGCTTCTTCGATCGACAAGATCCTTGCGGATGGCTGTATTGATCCAAAGCAGATCCCCTCTTTGTTTGGCCGGATACAGTTTTCGGAGAGTCAGTTGATGGGCCGACAGGGACGCTTGGCTTTGGCTCAGATTCGCTGGCTTTCGAGTGCTCGTCACCGTCACGTTCTATCTTCTTTGGACGCTACTGTCTTCAGAAGCTTGAGGGAGAGGATGCTTGAGGGCCGGCCACGCGAGATCCAGGTTCTTCCCGTTGGCGGCCAGACTCTCGTTTTCACTGATGGTGCATGCGACAAGCTGGGCGACAAGTTTAGCTGCTCAATCGGAGGTGTCATGTATCGGGTGCTTCCAACTGGTTCCTATGAGACGAGGGCGTTCGGGTGCTACCTGGACGAATCGGTCGTCGAGCAATGGGCGGGACTGGGGAAGAGACACTTGATAGGTCCTACCGAGCTTTTCGCGGTGGTGGCGGCCCGACATGTCTGG